ATACGATAGATACTTCACCTCGTGAGAAGTTAAACTGCCAATTCCTATGTTACTGAAGCCACGTTTGACATTATCTTCTGTCAGTTCGTCCTAAAAAGCGTTGATGGGCAGGATTAAAATGCAATTTAAAGTGTATTAGAAAATAATATTAGTATTTTAAACGTTACCTCTTTCTGGCCATTTATTTGAGGGAAAAAATCGGGAATTTCGTCTTTCCCACGTTTAATCGAACGACAACTGTAAACGGCCGCCATATTGTTGTTTTTTCTGCACCAACTGATCGGTTAGCACTATTTTCCATCCAGCAAACTGACCTGACGTCATTTTCGCAAGATAGAAGAGGTTCCAAACCCTACCCCTATTCTAATCCCTAACCCTATTAACCTCAACCCTAACTCTAACCCTAACCCTAACCCTAACTCTAACCGAATTAATAAAAAAATCCAAAAAGAAACGACTTTACAAAATCGATAGGGCGGTTTGCTGGATGGAAAAAAGTGCGCTAACCCAACTGATCTCGGATATGGAACTGGATAAATATAAATTACCCGCATACCTTCGCATACCTAACAATTGGTGGGTATATAGCCCGCATGTTTGACCAGCGTCAGTCAATAATCAATATAGTATAACCATGCCACTTTGTTTTGTAAATTTTTAATAATATATTTGGATAAAAATATACATTGTAGGTCTTGTAGTGTCCAGAAACACAAACACTTAGAGTGGAAAAGAGCTATTGGTTGAAAGGAAGAGGAACACTACTTTACAAGGTAAAATAGCGACTAAAATATGAACAGATTGATCGCAAAAATTCGCGATTACCCATATAATTTACGTTTTCGTAGCCCCTTTGCATTGTGGTTTATAGTGATATCACTGATAAAGATAGCGGCCTCGAATGAAAATATTTGCGGATATTTTGCTGTTGGCTATCGCGCACGGCGCACCAGACCCTAGCTTTTTTAAAAAGTTCTTTCACGCATCAGGACAAAAAAAATAAGCCATCTTGAATATCAGTGATACCACTATAACCACAATGCAAAGCACTATGAAAACGTAATAAGGGGAATCACGAATTGACATAATCAGGTCACTTTGGTCGAATCCTCCATAATTTGAATGCCGTGGTTTAAATATAGGGCTGCAAATTACTGTCGGACATCGGACAACATCCGACTAATGCACCTATCAATATTAATCCTGGGGGGTAAGGGTGCGGGCAATGGGTGGGGATTTGATAATGAATTCCATCCCCACAGACAGGCATTTGACAAAGATTTTTTGCCTGGGTGCGGGCGATTTGCCATTCAACATAATTCAATATGCGATTTCAGTACGAAACCTGGAGCCTAGAATCAAGAAAACCGGAAGTCCGGAAACTTATTATCTTTTATTTCCTCATCCGCTTCTGTCTTCTGGCCTTTTGGAATTTGAATACAGTACACAGTCTGGATTCTGGAGATAAAATTTACAATGCCCAGACGTTTTTTGTGGCTCTTTATATTAGTAAATGTTTAAATATTTTGCCTCGATCTATCCCTTGGGTGCATCTGTTTTGAAACATTTGACTATCTTAGAATATAAATAAAATTGTTATACATTCAAACTTTATTCTTCTGTATGGTTGGTCAAAATTCCCAGGATAATTCTCATTAGTATTTTTGCACAAGTGAACATAACAAATCCGACAACCTGATTGGTCAAATTTGACATATTAAGCTGTTACAGGTGAATGTAACAAAACTGAAATTTTCAAAATGGCAGCTAGCCATTTTGTGGACGTTTACTAATAAAGAAATAAGCGAAATTAAAATAAATTCAGTACCAAATAACACAAAAGACTTGTGTAAAAGTACTAAAACAATTATTCACCTCAGGCTCAGTGATTATAGGGGAATATTCACCTCCACTTCGTCTCGGCGATTATTGCCCGATAATCACCTCACCTTCGGTGAATAATTGTTAAATATCTGGTAGCTGACACACTATTTCCACTGCAGACATGATCAGTGAGCTATCTTTTTTGGACACACTGTTGCTTTGGTGGTGCAATCATCAGAGTACCTTTCACCTCTGAGAATTGTGCGTTCGATTCTTGCTGCGGACTTGTGACACTTATGTCAAAAGAGACAGTGAATGCTCAACAAAAGTCACAGGTTTTCTAGACACTGTCATGCCCAAAAATCCCAATATTTATGTATCTACCTTTCCAAGATATCACCTTAGTTATATGTACATGAACTTGCAGTATGTTAGAGCTCGACAACTGGACTCTGTAGATTTGCTGGTTAGAGTGCTGCGCCAGAATCGCAGGGTCACAGATTTGATTTCTGCCAGAGGGCCGAAGGTCTAGTAAATAAAATTTACACTCAAAATTTCCAATTAGAAAATCATTCAATGTTAGTTCAACACATCTTTGCATGTCAAATTTTATGGCATCTCGGGCTACACTTTGGCACCTGGAAGTCTTTTGTGCCATCTGGCATCTTGTTTATTTTCATGTCAGATTTTTGTGAAGTACTGCCATGTTAAAGCATATAGTTTTGTGGATGACCCGTTTTTGTATCCTGCACTGTCAAGAATGCAAAGTAAACAAATGTTTGTAGAACTCAACATATTAACGCAGTTTATCTCATCAAATTCCATTCAAATCTCGTTCTAATGTTAGAAAAAAGTAAAAAACCAGTGGAACATCCAGAAAACAAAAACTTTGATGATATTTTAATATTTCTGTTTGAATACCACCATAACACGATTTTGACAAACAAAAACCGCCTCACCCTATTCTTTGTACACTATAGTTAGGAAATCAAGAGGATCAGACAAAATTATGAGGGCTGCTGCCTTAGTTCATCCTACCCCTTGATTCCCCTTCAATGTAGTTTTGAATTTAGAGTTTCCTTAATATTGCAAGAGTTACATTGTGAGCAATTATGTGATTTTCGTTGGGCATAGTCGTACTTGACGCAGCCAGGTTGCTAGTAAGTGCTGTCCTTCAAATTCCTCCGTGTCAAACTACTACAGTATTTTCTAATCATCTTTCTTCAACCGCATAGTTAAACCCTGGAACAGAGTGTGTAAGGACACTTTCTCCAGTCCCATTACTTTTACAACCTTTCATAAGCGTAACTATAATCTCATCTTCTTCAGACAGTCTATGATGATGATTTGTCATGTATGTGGTCCTGTTTGTATGTCTATGTATAATGTTTTAGTATACATGAGTATATTGTAGTAATATCTTGGCAGGTGCATTGCATGGGTCCTTTTTCAAGAGTCCCATTTGTACCTTGCCTTTTTAGTGTCAAGTTTCTTCGAAACTTGACAAGTATTGTGATGAGTGGGGGAAAATTCATATGAGTCAGGGATCAGGCATAATAGTGTAAACTTTCCGGGGGGTGTATACGATATATGTTCGTAGTGATTTATTGTACTTAGTCAGTGCTTTGAAGGTTATTTAGGCAATTTCAGTTGCCTTATTTAAATATTCTTTTGTCCTTTTGCCAAGTTCACAAAAAGTTTGAGGAGTGGTTGTCGTTATTGTAATTTTTTTGTAAATTTTATAACATTCGCTTCTCATGTTGTGTAAAAGATCTTTACCCCGGAACACTCGATTTTTTCTTTAGCAGCGCAAATGCGCATGCGCTATCAAACCGTAGATGACCTACGATGACGTGACGACGCTAGGAAGGAGCGACACAGTGTTGTTTTCAAATGTATACACATTTCAGATATGGATGTGAATATTGAGTAAATCTTTGAGAGTCTACGCAATATATAAATTGATGTTATTCATTACGGGCATTCAGTCAAGTACCGATATTACTTAGACGGTATATTCATTATACAGAGCTAAGAACTAAGGAGCTAGATAGTGCTTTTTTCCAAATGTATATAAAACATTTCAGACCTAATTATAAATATTGAGAAAATCTTCGAAGTGCCGATATTATTTTGACGGTATATTCATTATACAGAGCTAGGAAGGAGCGAGACAGCGTTGTTTTCAGACCGATGAATATTGATAAAATCTTTGAGATGCTACGTAATCTATAAATTGATGTTGTGCATTTATACCGGACGGCATTCAATTTATAAGTGCCGATATTATTTAGTCGTATATTCATTATACATCGAATGTAAAGGTGTAACACTGCTACACCACAGAATAGGTCACTCAGTACGAAGAGCAAAACATTGCATCAGATCAGTAGAGCATAAATAACTATCAAACAGAAGTAGTGTTTGTATATCATTGTATGGCGTTTGCTATCCAACGTGTACAGTCACGGGCCTTGTTCACATGTCTGGCACAACGGTGCAAACTGGTGTTCAATGGCACAATGCAACATTCAAATGCAACGAGAACATCACCAGATCTTACGAGAATCTATCTGTATCAAAGCTTTATCAAAACTGCTATAAACTCTGCTGTAACTGTGAAATTATTGACATCTAAAGAGACATTATTGAATACTTGCGGAAAGCTGAAAATGACTCGTATAAAAAAAACAACCTGATCTTGGCCTTGGGAATATAAAGTCAAAGGTCATTGAGACTTGTTATTGAGAAACATGTCACAATTAAGTTAAAATGCGGAAAGCGGATGCGGAACCTAGCGGATCCATGGAGCGGGTGCGGAACGGATATAGGGATAAAATGCGTCATTTAAATGAATTTTTTCGCCTCATTTTTATGTGTTTGTGTTTTGGATTTATGTTTTTGTAATGGGATGCAACGTCATATTAACTACAGTGTGTCCCCAAAAAAGTACCCTTATAACAATAGGATAGATACTTTCTATAGAGGGTACTTTTTTGGGGCACACTGTAGTTATACAGCTATTTCAATTGTGTCACTGAGACAATAGTTAAATGTGCAATATGTGCGCTGATAGTTTTAAATAAGTTTAGTATATCAGTAGCCTCATGGGGATACTTTCAGCGACAGCTCCCAATGCAATTGTAGTTTTAGAATATACAAAATTTGGTTGCTGGTGAAAGAATTTAAATTTCGAGTTGTCTCGTGTAGCATCAAAATAAATAAATAAATTGTACCAGTTCCACGAGGCACGGTGAAGGAAGTGACAATGAATTGTTTCTCTCGTAAAAACCTTGTTCTAATCCACATTTTTGAGTAACGTGCAGGGTTGGTATGTTAGATGAAGAATTAGGCCAAATCGTATTAGTGCCGTTATTGAAAACAAATAAAACAAAAAAAACAAAACACGCTAAGACAAAAAAAAAACAAAGGCCTAACGTAACGTTGTGAAATCTATTAACCCGTTAGACCTTACGCAGTTCTTCCCGATCTTATTCAATTTGAAACTTTACACTATCCTTGGATCCCTAGTTTGATCTTCAAGTTATTAATTCTTATGTGACTGTATTGATAATATAATGTATGTATTATTGATCCAAATAAAATTTGTGAAATTGTCTTCCAGATTTGAAGAACCCTATTCTAACTTTACAGGTCTTGCCTGGGTGTTCTGCGCCGTATTGACCTTTCCCATCGTTCTCACATACCCAAGTCTCGCGACATGGCTAGTGAAGATTCCTCAATTCCAAATAAGAAGGTTGCAAACGAGAAAGAAGTTATTGCAAAGGAGGAAAACATGATTGCAATAACCAAGGAGCAAATTGCAATGGAAGAAGAAAGAATTGCGACAGAAAAAGAGAAAATTGCAAAGGAGAGCGAGATGACTGAAAGACAAGAATTGGAGATTGCCAAAGAAAAAGGGAGAATTGCTGAAGAAGAAAATAAAATTGCAAAACAAAAGAAGAAAATTGCAAAAGAGAGGAAAAGAATTGCAATGGAGCAAGAGAAGATAGCAAAACTGAAAGAAACATTTGAAAAAAGAAACGAGAATATAACCGAGGAGAAAGAAAAAAATGCAGGAGGCGAAGGTGAGTTTGCGAAAGAGAAACAAACAGTTGGAAACGAAGACGAGCATGTTACAAACAAGTATGAAGAAGTTGCAATGCCAATGGAAAAAGACAAGGCTGCCGAAGAGAGCAAAAATATATCCTGTGGTCGAAGGCCTTATAAATGCGATGTGTGCAAAAAATCATATTCCAAATCGCAACACTTGAACCGCCATTTGCTAACACATTCGAAAGACAAGCCATTCAGGTGTGAAACTTGCTCTGGAACATTTTACACAGACTATGACTTAAAAAAACACGAAATAATACATAGTGAAGAAAGAAATTACAGATGCAATGTTTGTGATAAAACATTTAAACTGCCTAGAAACCTTCTCTGCCATAGCAGAACACATACTGGATTTAAACCCCACCAGTGCGATATCTGTGAGCTGGCTTTCTCAGATGCCCGAAGCTTGGTAGCTCATCAGTGGAAACATTCTGGGGGAGTTCCTTATAAATGTGATGTTTGTGAGAAGTCCTTTTACTGGAAACGCAGCCTAGTGGACCACAAAAGAATACATACGGGGGAAAGACCTTACGAATGCACCACATGTAGCAAGACATTTATTCGATCTGGTGATCTGATATCCCATATAGTATCACACACGGGAGAGAGAAAGTTTCATTGCGACGAGTGCGGGAGGTCGTTTATGCGTTCGCATCATTTAACACGTCACAAGAAATCGCACTCGGGAGAACGACCGTTCAAATGTGAAGAATGTGAAAAGGCGTTTTTCCAATCCTGGGAATTAAAAAAACACATCCAGACACACAGCGTCAGTAAACCAGTTAAAATTAGCACGAAGGTATTTCAAAAATCATCACGTCGTAAAGCGAAAACCAATGAAACGCATATTTTTAGGTGCGATGCATGTGAAGAGTCATTTGCTTCATCCTCCATTCTATTTGCTCACAAAATGACGCACGAAGAACAGAAAGATTTTGAATCTTCTAAATGTACAGTTGAATCGTCTGCTGGTGACATTAGTGTTGACTAGAAAACATTAATAATAATTAGCTAAACTGTATGAAGTTTGACTAATAATGAGATGGAGTAATCAAATTTGGAGACGTTTCAAGTATGCAGGTGCACATATATATACATAAACATAAACGTTTTAAAAATCCATTTTAGTAAAACATAAACTTTTAACTAAAATGGATTTTTAAAACAAGAATTTAATTTAGCATTTAGAATTCTTCCACCTTTGTAATCCCAGTGGTAATTAAAGTATAACCAGCTTGCTCATATCAGTCATATGTATTAATTACAGATCAAGACATCAATATAAGTATTGAAATGATTATGTCCAGTTATATGGTATTTAAAATCTCTTTATTTCAGGATTATTTTACTAATAAAGCACTAAGCATACTTTTTAAGTTGCTTTGCCGATAGAGAAACATATGTAGTCATAACCAAGTGCAGGTATATTATGTGGTTAGTTTAATTTGAGCGCGTACGTAGCATACAAACATTCTCTCAATACCTTGTCAATATTTTTTCAACCACACATGCTGCGACCTACTTCCCTGATTGATAATATTCGCTTTAATTCTGTTGAGCATGATCTATAATTGAGAATTTGGTCTTTGATATATTTGATCATCTTCCTACCTTTCTCATTAATACAATAATACGTTATCTTGCAATACTGCATAGGTATTGTTAGAACGAGGAGGAGGAGTTTATTGACGTGATTCAACTTTTTCTTTACCTTCCGGCTTCTGCTCGTACAAACTACAGCATTTTTAATATCAGATTTTGTGATCCCCATGGATGGTGCGGCTGCTTTGTGGGTTGGCTCATATACTAATTACCTCTATTCGATATTATCGAGTGTACTAAGACCCGGCCAGGGGACGAGGTTGCATTTGTAACACCGGGAGCTAACCGTAGTTTTATATATCCGTAGTTTTATAGCGTTTTAAGCATTTTTATCACTGTTAAAAAGTCCCTATCCGGCAGCAGCGCTATCCGACCTTCATACAACCTCGGACAACCGGCCCCTTCAGAGCATCATTAGTATATTGGACATTCTTAATATAATCTTTAATTATCCGGCATTGTCCATCTCCCACCACACGCACGCACCACGCACGCACGCACACACACGCATTTTGGAAAGCATTTTCGCTCTTGTTGAATCTTTTTAAACATGTTTGGTAAGAGTGATAGTCAGGCTTTGACTTAAAAAATATAATTCAATATCTAGGGCCTTTTTTAAGAAGTTATCATTAGATGGGGCCATCGAGGTAAAGGGATCCGAACTAGGAGAACGTCACCTAAATAAATACGAACCTGTAGGAACTGGAGTCCACCCCACTTCCCAAATATATATTATCTAGACAGAGTGCATGCGTGAACTTTCAGTAGTGAAGCAAAGTTTGATTATCGGAATATTAAAACACTCTTCTAAACTAAGTTATTCTCTCCGTTTTTGCTAATATTTTAAGCTGCAGAAGGCATGCACCTTCACGAGGGTGGGCAAATTGCATGCATTTACTGAGCCTAAGTAAGCAAGGCATCTTAATAAGGTAATGCTCGAAGTAATGCATGATATTAATGCTTTGTCGTAAGCAGAACTGAGCAACTTCACATATTAAAGATTCCTCCCAAAATCTTCACAGTTTTGCGATTCTGATGTGAATTCCAAGGAAATTCGTCCCCCTTTAGAAACGTCACCTTTCCTTTAGGGTTTTCGTCCTCCGTTAAAAATTTCACTCTTCCTAACAGTTGCATGGGATAATTATTACATGGCTTTAGTCACTTGAAATCAGTGTCAATTCAAAATTGTTAAGAATACAAAGTTTACAATTACATGTATTGAAAGGTCTTAGAGTAGATCAATAGGACTTATAATACTTCACAGTACACCATGCATATTTTGCATTTTCAGTGTTAAATATCCTTAAACTTTATTGTTAAAAATAATCACCGTGGTCCGTGGCGTGGTGGTTATTGTAATTATTGGTGTTGACTCAAAACTTTGTTTTTTTTTAATAAATTGACAGTCTGACACATGCATGAACTATATGTTTTTTTTTAATCAAACCGTTTAATTTCATTATAAAGAGCACTAAAAATCTACTTGTCTCTACCGATGCAGCATTCACAAAATTATTTGAATAAATCGCATGTATGGGAGGGGGGCGAATTTCCTAAGGGGGGAGCGATATTCCTAGGGTACTCGCTCCCCCTGGGGAGCGATGATATTCCTAGGAATATCACCCCTTTTTTGAGAGAGGAGGGGCGAATTTCCTGGGGTGTGCGAAATTACTGTGACACCGGTGTCCCAGGAATTTCAAGCGCCCCCCCCCCCCCACAATTTCGCCCCCCAGGGGAGCGACATTCCTAGTAATATCGCCCTTCCAGGGGGCGAAATTCCTAGGAAACTCGCCCCCTTTAGGAAATTCGCCCTCCCCTTCAGAAACTTCACCTTTTCTTTAGGGACGGACCATTATTTTTTTGGAGGGGGGGATGGGCATTTCGTCAACGCAAACAATTTTTTTGGTGGTGTTGTCGTTGCAAACAATTTTTTGCGCCTGCTTCCTTCTGCAAACAATTTATTTTGTCTATCTGATCGCTGTGGATTTCATTAT